ATCTCCCCAAAACCCCAAAACCCCAAAACCCCGAAGAAGATTGGAGGTTATTCAGAATAGATTTTGTGGTTGATTCCGAGGGATTTTAGTAGTTTTTGTCTTGTTTTTCTCTTTTTCTTTAATGAGCGTCTATAGGTGATTATAGAGCATACATTTTTCTCTTCTTTGCAGTTTTAGTGTACATCTGACTCAGAGGAATATCCTTTTCTTCGTCTGGAAAGTAGTAATCGACTAATGTGTTGTAATCAAGGGGGCCAAAAGATTTTCTAGATGTCTTTAAGTTGACTAGTGGTAATTCTGAGTCTATTACTATTGGAACTTGCCCATTGAATCTAAAATTAATGAAAAGACGCATACTCATAAGCCTTTCTCTTCTGTTCCTGTTTGATACTAAACAGCTCGACTGCAAACTTACTGGTTTATGTAATTAGCAACCTGACTTTGGATAAGTCTCTCCCTTCTCAAGTTCCTCACACGTTCCCTTTTCTCTTTAATTTCCATCTGCTTTATCTTCTGTATATTGATCTTATGACTAAATATATGTTAAAAAGTAACTAAAGCACTCAAATCTAGTAGTATCTCTAAGATATTTCATTAAAATTTGAATAATTTCGAATTGTTCATTCTAGTAAAATGTACATCATCCTGGTTTAAAATTTCTGTTTATGCAGGAACTGTATAATTTTGCACAATCATTTACCTATTGAAATCAACAGTTCTATTCCCATCTATAGGTTATTTAGAAATTTTACATTTTAGTAAGAAGTGAGGATCTCTTTTGTATTCAGAATTAAACACCAATTTCTCAACCTCGCTTGGCTCAGTGATCATCGGGAGCCCAAATCTTGCACTTTTGATGCCGATTGGATGCTTAGGGATCTATATCATAATTGGTTGTATTATTACAGCTGTTATATATGGTTTAGGTTCAATAAGTTTGGTGTTTTTACTAGGAACACTCTCGCTTCTCCTTCAATGCTTTCCTTTGAGATCATTGTTATTTTTGACATCGCTAGAAGTCTGAGAATCTTAACTTACAAATTCTGTTGAGAAATATTATACTTGAGGCCAATAATCATGTTCTCTCCAGAAGTCTTTGGAATAGGGATTAATTTGCGAGGAGAGGTATCCCTCATTGTTTTATGAGGGACTTTATTTAAAAGACTTTTCCCTGAGCGGGTATTGAGGAATCATGGGATAGGCATACTGCTGTTAAAACTCTCTTTGAAATTCCCTGATATTGTGAAATCTTTACTTCTTACATGAAATTGCATCAATTTTAGATATCTTTGCAGGAGATGCCTTTAAAGGAATGCTTTGCTTTTGCTAGTATAATTTTATTTAATAATTACTTTAAGAACTGTTTCTCCTATTAAATCAGCATTATCTAAAATTTATCTAGCACGACAAACCTTGGGCTCTTCCTGTTGGAATATTTATTGCTGGTCCTGAATTATTTTCTACATAAAATTTCAACCTAAATAAATATGAATTTTACCTCTCGTTAGTCTGCCAGTTGATATATTCATTAATAAATCTTATCTTCTCTTCGCTCTGAGATGTCTCGATTGGGTGAAATACGTGGCTACTTTTCATTTCAGTAGTTGAGTTTGCTGATGCTTTCTCTGAAGTTCTATCAATACTTTTGAAATTGGAGTTATCTGCATCTATGATATAATCCATAGAGTTTACCTCTGATACTGATTTCTTCAATGCTCTCCATCTTGTCTTTAACAGCTGTGTCTGATTTCCGGTTGCCTAAAATTAGCACATGTGTTACTAAGAATGATAATTTTATTAAATTTTTCCTTTCTATTCCTAAAAGTAAGTTACAAGATTATTTACAGATTGCTATTTTCTTTAAACCCCATATCTTTAATCTTAAAATCTTTCCCACATACATTCTTCATCTCAGCTGCTTTCTGGGTTTCTACAACAGGAGGTTTCCTCACATTATCATATGTAGGGGTTAACTTTAGCTTGCTTGTTGAAATTTTCATAGGATCTCTCACTGTTTTCAAATCTCAATTAAGTTGCTCACACCTTGCTATATCAAATTCTATAACCTCTCCAATAATTCTCCACCCCAAAACTCCATAATCCACAACACCTAGAGCCAGTCTAGCTAGCGTAATCCCTCTCCTTCCAACAAATGCATACTTTTATCAAAATACTTGACTCCAGCTCCGATCAAGTCGATCCTCTGAGGACTACTATTCCTGTCATTCTTATCGCTCCTGTTCCTCTTACTCCCTCTGTGCCTGCCCTTGGGTTTATTCCTGGCTTGGAATGGGTTATTGGTCATCTTAATGAGGATCTTCTCAGGTTTGGTCGGGGAGAGGTCTCTTTTACTCCCAAATCTGATTTTTGAGGGGTTTTGCATTTATATTTCAGGATTATAAATATGTGAGGGGTTTTGGGGTTTTGGGGTTTTGGGGTTTTGGGG